CAGAGAGAATCAGTATTCGTTGAACAACTTGTTGTCATCCTAAATACTGTGTCGATGCATCACTTACTCCAAAACAACATACTCTGAATTATTGCTGTGCGTGTGAACGTCGCTATACTCATACCAGGTATTTAATACTAGTACTTTATTCCTAGATTGTTAATTTATGTGTTAATTGGACTCAGCGTAAATAGAAGGTGATTTGTACCTTCGACTATTCGTGATACAAATTAGAACGTTTGTGTTAACCATATTTCTTTGTTTGAAATTGCGTTTTCATTTATCATACTTATTGGGGATTACGCGACATATTGCAATTAAAAAAAAACATGTGTCGGTCAGATATTTGAAAAAAAAATGATCGATTATGACAGAGATTTTAGCTTAGATGTCTTCATCACAAACACATAAGACGAATAGTTACAGATCGTGGCTTGTACTATTTCTGATAGAGGCCGATTGTTTGCTCTTTGCGTATATCCATACACCTATAGCCCCAGGACCAAATAAACTGTATCCGATACTTTTTGCATAATTCTAAACGAACGTATAATATAACAATATGAAAAGACGTTTAATTTTATTATTATGTATTATTATAATTATTATTATTATTATCATTATTATTATTATTTGAAGCTATGTGTATGTACAACACATTACGATAAAGACTTATCGTTTTCGACATAGTGAAATTAATTCATAACGAAATGTATTCCATATGCGCACCTTTATTAATTATCTTTGAATATCAAAGACATAACATAATTTTATATATTCTCTATATTGCATTTATTTTCTCTTGATTTATGACTGAAAGCAGTTGAATGAAAAAAAATATAAACAACGTATGAATCTCATGCTTAAAGCAAGCACTCAGGTTGGTGTGGTTCTGCTTGAGTTCTTGTTTAACGACAAGTATCTTTGATTACGTCCTTCTGATGTATTTATTTACACAGTCGCGTATCTCGGTGCCACGTGTAACAAAGTAACTGTTCAAATATACGATGCACTCAGTTACACTACACGTACGTGTTACGGTCACACTGTAATGCGTATGTCTCCTCACATGTCAACTACAAAAAAAAATATTACACTACATCAATACTGTAACTTGCTCTGTTGTTGTTAATACAATATGAAAGCCGCTTAAATTCACCGCGACCTGCAATGGGAAAGATAAGGAACTGAAATCAAACTGGTATTATTTTCGACATCGACTCAGGGAGAGTAACAACGTCAAATCGGCTTCCAGCCGTGTTTTAGATCCCTTGTTTCATTTGCGTCCTGGCAACAATTGTGACGTTAATTTTATAGTTATGAAAACATGTACAAATCCTATTATAGTACTGATATGACGGACATAGTTCAGACCGACCGACGCCGGTGGTTTAAAGCGCATGGAATTAGCAGCATACGGTATCGTATGATATTCACCGCACGGCACTGCTGATGTATTGTATACACCATCAGTATGACTTGTACACGTAATATACAAATCGTCTCGTTAACCACAAACTGCGATATAGAACTACAATGCAACTATTCTTGATATAATAATCCGTCTCATACCGGAAGTGACGTCGTGACCCACACCACCTTATATAGAGCCAATATAAAATATACGTAAACTGCCACTTTTACTAGAACGAGAAAAAAAATACGTTCAATTGATTTGTCCGGTTCGTTATCCGCCAAACACATTTGGAGGCTACTTAGTACGTACACTGTTCAAGATGATAACATTGAACGTGGTTTACAAATAGATATGAAGTCATTATCAACTACATTCACAATATCTATATAGTATGGACACCTGCAGAATAATAATTAACCCCCATGAAGTCAATACAGAAAATCTGTAAGTAAACATTATTCAGGTCGTCGTATCGTTAGTGCTTTGTAACTTTACAATCTTCCGATCTAAAAAGCTGCGCTTAATTAACGGCAGTGTGCATTGTGATAAAGCTAGTCATGGCAATGGTAATTGAATTTGGCCGAAGAATGAAAAAGTATCGTCAATCGTTTTCCAGATAGACATCTGTGTTTAATGTACTTGTATTGTATTTTGACGTATGCGCGATATAGTGGCTTCTTTTCAGTGTACTCGTAGTCGTGAAATACATTGTCTTTCATGTTTGGCATATGGCAATTAGTACCATTGCACTTCGACGCGATGTCCTTATCAAGTCATTTTTTTCTTTTCACTGAATAAATGCGATTTACATTTACATTTAGATGGTATATTTAAATGTCTCTGATCGGCTTTGATTTCAGTACTATTTGACACGTGCTTTAATTAGATTATATAGTTGTGCATTTAACAAATCGAATCACCAATACTTTTCACCGAACAGTTCGATTGGTTTTCAATTACTGGTGCTATTATTAGTGTAAATAAAATTTTAATGGTAACTCGGACTGCGGCTGAACCATTTCCACCCACATGTACAAAGGATATTCTGTACACTCATATATTCGGTTCATAGTAGTTAACGGTATAAACATCGATTTCAGTTGGTATTGTGTCGGTGAAATTTACAGCAATTTACTGCATAGGCACAAAATAGGTTTCCACTACAAATCATGGTTGCAGAGACAATCCAGTTAATAATATATATATATATATATAATTATAATTTCCTGCTTGACGCCATAGGCATAAAGCATATAATATAACTTCTTAAACATGCAATCACTGTTTTAAAATGAAGCAATTTGAGTTTTCATTCGTGTTACCTAGAAGCGCTGAAAGACATAGTTACAATGGACGTTCAGATGGCGATCGATATATGCTCTATGCCGCTGCGTGATTTCCGGTTGCAAATTACATAACTGGCTTGCCCCTGTTTTCGTACGACTCTCTCTCTCATTCAGTAAATCGAAACGGTCGAACGTAACGACTTTTTTATTACTTGTTATATACTGTGTACATTTCACAACGTGCATTCATTCTGTTCCACAATCTTCATGCATCAGGCACACATCGATAATTAAAGTGCGACGTTTTTAAGTGGGGAAACAACTCAACACATTATCACTATCCGTGTTTCAAAACACCAATTGTCATAATATTATGATTAAACTTAAGTGTTTTCAGCAAACAAAAACACATCCACAATATATAGTATCCATCACAAGTTGCATGTTCATCTTGTCTCAAATACAATTATTGTATCATATAATAGTGTGTGTAAATGTATTTTTTTTGCTTTTCTTTTATCCTTGAATTGCTCATTTTACCGACTTCTTTCAATAATTCTCATCAAGACTTATTGCAGAAATACTGGAGACACAATGAAGTCATTTCCTTGTTATTAATCCGCGGTGACACTTAATCTGCATTACTTGGCGGATATCACGTTTTTTTTTAAATTTAATAAACCTTATCGTAGAGTTGATTAAAAAAATACTTTTTTCGACCGATGTTGAAACACCAGTTAGATTTAATAATACACACTTTTCTGCACTAAGATCACATACACAAATCAACAGCGTACACACACAGCGATATATTTGAGTAAACATGTTAAATTTTCACACAGAGTCTCCAGAAAAAGAATAGTGGGTATAGTTTCTCAATAGCACTTTAAATCATCACATTTATCGCTTAACGTCATGTTTGATATGGCTCCCATGCGACGAATATGACGCGTGTAAATAGGTAATTTATGTACAAGAAACACGCGCTGTGTGACGACTTTTGAGCTTTACAAACTCGATGCACTTTAGTGCCACTTAGCAAAATATAAAATTCATATGTTTTAAACTCCCTGTTATATTGTTTCAAGTTAGACTGATAACAAACAGCTAACTGACTTACATACTGACATAAAAATAAATAAATAAATAAATAAACAAACAAACAAACAAACAAACAAACATACAAACAAACAAACAAACAAACAAACAAACAAACAAATAAACAAATAAATAAATAAATAAATAAATAAATAAATAAATAAATAAATAAATAAATAAATAAATAAATAAAATAAATAAATAAATAAATGACTGGTCTCAGTCATTGCAATTTTCATCATCCAGGATGATAGGATGCCTCAGAATAATTAATATTGCTTGAGGATTGGCCTATCCGTGACAGCTTGGTGTATATGTTACATAGAACAAATGAAATTACGCCCAAGTGGCTTTTGGAATGTTATTGCTAACTTAAAAAATGACATTAAGTCGGTGCGAAGCTACTTACATAATTGTGCTTGATTTTCTACCAAATCAGTCAGACCAATCAGTAAGCAGTTTGTTTGTTTGTTCACAGGTAACTTTTACTTAAATTTTTACCCTATCTATGCTTTGCCTTAACTCAGTAATGTCGTATCTGCCATACTTTCACATGTGAACATTGACACTGTCTATTTTATTATAGATTCCAATATTAGGTGATACAAACCGAATACTGCCGATTTATATCGATATACTGTTGGAAAAATAAATAGGTAAGGTATGGCATAGCAGCAACATTAAGACACTACTAGTTACAAAGTCACGTATTGAATTTAAATGTATATAAGTCTTGTTTGATGTACAGTGACGATTGACTAAGCAGTTAGTTTAGTCGACATTTTCAATCCAACTCAGGGGCCAATCAGCCACGGCATTACAGTTAGATGACAATATTTCGTGTAATTAGTTGTTTGTATGCAAGGGAGTTTTCCACATACAAATGACGAATTCGGATGAATTTTGTTTATTTAGTTTCATTCCGTATTCAAGGTTGTGGTCGCATGGAACCAATAACGAACACTGTGCGTCGCGATGAGTGTGGTTCTTTAACAAGTCACCCAGACACGCGACTAAAGCCATATTTCTAAGAATTATAATCTTTTCTGATGTCGTCTCCAGACAAATACTGCGTTCAAAATAATCCTGTTTTTTGTTGTTGTTTTTTTTTGTCGCGTGAACTCATTGTGAATTTGTGTTGATCACATTTTAACTGTGACCTTGTATATGTTGTTTTCATAGAAACACTTACGTTTAATATGGAAGAATCAGGCAATATATCATCCAGCATCGCGCCCGCCCCCGTCGACCCACTGAACACAGCAGAGTTTTGGTACCAGGTCTTTGCTCTGGACACGCCAGCGGAAGTGGTACTGTTCTTTGGTATTCTCTTTGTCCTTTTGATACTTGGTGGCAACGTGTGGGTTATCGTCGCCGTTATTCGAAACCCTAAACTGAGAAGTTCAGCCACGAATATATTCATCGTTTCACTTTCAGTGACAGACATTCTAGTCGGTGTAGTGACCGTACCGCAACACGTGGCCGTTTGGGGATATTTCAGTCATGTTCACAACAACGTCATTTGCAAGCTAGTGGCGTATCTACAGAGCTGCTCCCTCACCGGTACAACGCTTTTCCTCATCTGCATCGCCGTAGACCGCTATCGTGCCATCGTGCAACCGCTGAAACCCCGCATAACCGTTAACCAGGCATTGTTTGGATGTGCCCTGGTTTGGCTAGTCGGACTCCTGTATGGGATTGCCCCGCTGTATACTGTAGGCCTAAACCCAAGAGTTGAATATGTTGGCAACGAAACCTACGTTATCTATAGGTGCGGTGTCTTGTATGAAAAAGCCGAACTGGACGCAATCATTCGTTTATTAGATTTCGTTGTGTTTTACGGCGTTAATCTGCTGATACTCGCTATCCTGTACGGCATTATGATCTCTACGCTCTGGTTCGGCAAATCCCCGAGCAATTCATCAAATCGCGGCAAACAGAAAGCGATTAAAATGTTGGGTTTTGTAGTTTTACAGTTCAGCCTTACATGGCTCCCGTACCACGCCCTGCAGCTCTACTACCAGTACACCACATACATCCCACCCAGACCGCTCCTCTACTCGACTGCACCCATCAACAGTACATTCTTCATATTCTGTTGCAATAGTTGGATAAACCCGATCCTCTACGCATACTTCAACGAAAACTTTCGGAAGGAGTTTGTTCGCCTATTCCCATGTTTAAATAGAAAGAGTAAAGTTGGCCCAACCACAACTGGTATGTCAGTGACATCTAAAACAGGCAATATGTCCGTCACACAAGCTAATACACAGGTATCAACCGTTTCGACTGCTTGAAAAAACACATTCATGGTATTTGATGACAATATCAGAGCATTCTGTCGTAATACTAAAGGTTGGACGAGGGAATACTAGTAAGCATACACATACGTACGTAAAAAGTGACTTGCTCGGATTGTATCTTAGGTACTTCGTTGGAACTTTGGTAAGCGGCGTATCGGAAGAGTTGCCCCCTCACTAGTGCGAATAAGATAAAACACTTTATTTGCATGGAGTTTTACCGAAGAAAACACTTTCTAATCGCCCACTACCTAACTGCTTCTTTCACAGATGAAGAAGTGCTAAGCAGTAATTCTAAATGATTACATGTTTATAAATCACGTGATGTTACTCATAAAGTTACAAGTGACTCATGTTACTGGAAATAGATGAATTGTGTGGATGCCAGTCGTGGCCTGTACAATGAAAGACAGTGCATTTTGAATATCGGGTTCATCATTAGAACAATAACACTGGTTTTTGGAACACATAAAAACATTGTTGGCAACATTTCTTCAGTGAAGTGTCTCTATGTCTATTACGCATCTAGGTGATAGTTCACGGAATTTCATATTTAATATTATGTATAATGTTTTCAAGATCTATGGTATAAGATTGTGTAACTGGCACGACTTGCTGTGATCTCGTTTGAAGACAGGCAAATGGACGATTTTACGCGTAAGACAGTTTTACAGTGAACGAAATATTACCTATTACAGAAAGACCACATACTCGTTAAACGGGAGAAATACTAAATGTATGTGAGTTCTGAAAAAAGAACTAGCTATTGTTCGTTCTAAACACATTTTTATATCGTCATTGTGTTTTCGCTCATAATCGAACATTATGTGTTTCTGCTTGTTTTGAATAAGACGATAACTTCGTTTATTTCTATTTTCACGTCGATCAACGTTTCTAAGCGTTCCCTTACACCATTGGTTAATACTCGTGTGATTGACGCGTGGAACTCTCTTGCATTGGCATCTCCATATTGCACGTGAATATCCAAGCTTCTTATATTATATGGTTACCGTATGTGCTATAAATGATTGTATTGGCATATTTTGTATACCCTTCAACTTTATAATAGTTTAGACTTGATTTTGGTCTATATTCACACTAACTAGAAAATCCTTTGAATACCAAATTACGCAAAATAAACTTTTTTCATAGTGTTTAAAAGGTTTTGATAAAAACATTTATGTAGTAGGAAACTAAAACCGTTCTTTTTAAAAACGGACCTGGAACTTGTAGAGAAATACATACAAATGTGCAACGTTTTGGCGAGGAATTTAGAGTGTTCAAATGTTAGTTATATCACGTTATATATAGATTTATTATATTATCACGATAGATCATGCAGAACATAACCTCACTTTACAAAAATGTGTACTAAATCTAAAATTTATTCTATCAACAAATCTTAGACGAATATAGTTGCTGAGATCCTGTGTTTGCCATTCGTGGTGTTCATTTCTCTCCCGTCAATGTGCTTACACTGTTTTAAATAACAAGGTTACATTGGCCGGGGAACAGCAATGACGTGAAAGGATTGAACACAAGTCTCGTAGCTCTCTCGCTCTCCACGAGAACGAGAACACGGCGGACATTTACGTTTATGGCTTATGGTGTGACGAAGCAATTCAAACATTTGTTTTCATCATATGTCTGGAGTGATTCACATACACGATGTACATATTTTAAACATTAAAAGTACATCTACATTTTCTTTCTTTTCTCTTTAATAATAATAATTACTTGAAGATACTTGTTTATCTGATTTAGCATTTACAACAGACTTATATTTATGTATTACAATTTTTAGTGACTTTTGCTCTGTCATATATGTGTAATAGAATTATTTCTGTTGTAAAATAAAATTAACTTATAAATGTTATACTTTGGTAAAGAACTTGGCGATTGTAAATAAATAAAGAAGATGATGAATTATAAATACTGATTATTATGGAAGGCAATTTTATAATGGAATTTGGAGAAAACTCGAAATTGGTTTGTTCTTAGTGGAACTTTGACACATTGTATTGCGCCACCAGCGTTGCATTACGTGATGTACTGTATAAGATATGTAACACTACCTAGTCTCACATATATTGGTCCAAACGCACCAAAAAAGATTAACAATGTTAGCAAAATAACAAACCAAATATTTAACCAATTTCTAGGCCAAAAGACAGCTCGCAATTTTGAATCAGGCGTCAAGGAGTCATTTTGTGACGATGCTGTTTAAATCACACATTCAAATTTACTATGTGATCTAACAACTCCAATGACTTCGGCTACCGCTGCATTCAAGACATCTGTACTGTCCAACTTGTGCTAAAATTTTGCTTGAATATTGAATATTGGTGGGATTTTACTGCTCCAAATTGCGAGTACTTGGTAGCAGAGTATACGAGCTCACTTCTTCATTCATCGTGGCACCATGCTTAAGCATAATAAATGAAATATTCAATTAGAGGTTTGTATTACATGGAAATGTCGTGATATTTACGAGTGTTTAAGCGTGAGCTCTGTTTTTTTTCGACTAGTTGTGAACCGAAATAAACTATTTGGTTTTGAACATCATAAGAAAACAAAATGACCGCCACGAACAGTTCCGGTCATACAGAATATTTTCTATATTTGACTAGTGAAATATATCGTGGTTCACAGTATGATTAAATGAAATACACAGAAGTAAACTTCCCATCTTAGCCGGTGCTAAGTCAGAAAATCTGAACACATACTGCACCCTGAACTGTTTTGGTAAATATGGTAAACCTGCAGGAAGTATTCACAGGGACAGTACGGCCAACCGTCACGTGATAAAAGCCACGACAATTGAAATTCATATTTAATTTACTAAAGAAATAAAGATAAAACAACTCGAAAAACATAAATAAAAAATTCAACAACATTGAAAAAAAAATCATACTCAAATAACAAAGCAAAAATTTAAATCACTATTTCTTAACACACAAACCACCAAGAAAAAAAGAAAGAAACAGAGATGAATACCCTTTTGTGGGAAAATACAGCTGAAAACCTGTGTCTTTCGCATTGCTTGTGTGCCAGAGGGGGCATGTCGGTGTTTATCCAGAACTAAATACTAGTTTGTTAGACTACTAAAACAAAAATGCTTAAGACAACTAAGCCATGGCTATAGTCCAGCGTAGAATCCTCGATGAGTGAATAACTCTGCTTCAAGGAACTACAAAGCCTAGTAATGGATGTTTATTTCATGTGAAGACAAACTGGCGAATCGCGGAGAACGTTATCACATGGGATACTCAATTTATACTTTATAATTTTTTTTTATAAAACACTTGGGTCGATATACAACTAATGGGTAATGGGAAGGTCAATCAAAGTTCATTCTATGTATCTTTTTTTTGTTTTAAAAATTGTTATAACATAAAACAGATGGGTCGATAGTAAACAATACACGGGACATTATATAAAACAAGTGAGTCAATATGCAACGTATGAGCAATAATATAAAACATATAGATTTGCGACATTCAGGTGGCAATACACAGCATATAGTAGGGCATCGATGTACAGGCCATGATGTACATCAAATGGACATTACTCGTAATTCTGGTCGTTATACTGTGAGCTGATAGAACAAAACATGTAACAACGAATAAGTAAATACATGACTTCCTATATAGCCTATTCTCATTTCTGATAAAAAAAAAAGCGCCACATGGTGGTGACTTCATGTTTTCTTCACTGGTTTATTCGCCCTGACTTGTACTACCGCTGATGGCGCACTACCCTGAAGAAATCATAAACCACAACCGTGACAAATAAAAAGGAACAGAAAGAAAGTCTGGACGGACAGCATTTTAAAGGTAGGCATATAGGTGTGTAAGAAGTGTGTAGATCACAAGTCAAGTTCATATCCGACAATCACACACAATTCCCTGGGGGATGGAACTGATATTGAAAACGTCAATCTTTGCGATCAACTGAACAAAGAATTTATAAAGCTAAGTTCTGAAAACAAGAATACAAATTATTTTTAGATAACAACATTTATAGTATGTTGTATCACTTTCCACGATCTTTCAGTATATATATATTCAACATTTCGTGACTAAGCATGAAAATGCTCAGGCATATATTATTTATAAAGGCCAATAACATAATATGATAATCCTCGCATGGTGTTATATAAGCATGTTAAATGATCCATTGATTGGGTTTCTGTTACATACATTTATTCGTTTTTGGGACTTATTTGAAGTTTTTAATAACAAAACTTAGGAGTAATATTGATCTCTAGATTAGAAGTTACTTGTATGTATTTGTTATCACTGCTCAAAGTATTCACTAGTATATACAAATGTGTACTACGTTTGTCATAAATTTGAGAGCTGTGACCAATCTGAAACAGTGTTGGGTAATATACATTGTAGTACGTTCATTACTCTGAATTCAAAATTGCTTATTTTGATCTTGGCGTTGTTGACTTCGCATTATTGTCATGTGGTGGCGCCCTGCGTCAACGTATAGATACGTGTTTCATGGTACCATAGGCTCTGTCTTTATTAAATATGACGCTACTATTCATCTACGACAACTTTAAATCTATAGAGATATATTAATTTGTATGGTTGTGGGAAAGAAATGTTGTTGTGTTTTACTCGACAAGTTAGACAGGGTCGATGGCGTCAGTGACAAGTGCGTCGCGATTTGTGTGCGTACTGTAAACAGTTTAATTATTCGCTGGGTTTGAATTTTGCTTATTTTGCTGACATGAAAATGTGCTAAATTAAAACCCAGTGAATATGTAAAACTGAGCATAGAACACATTATCTAAATTAATAAACCGTGAACTTAAAACCCATTGAATATCGGATTCCCTGAAATGCAAAATCAGCAAAATTTAAACCCAGTGAAAATTAGTAATTTTACAGTATTCGGTTCGATTTCAAAGCACAAACAAAGCTGAAACGATGAAACTATTTGGTTACTGGCAATTATTGAATTATTTAAAGCGATTTGTGTGTAAACAAGCAATGTATTTGACATTGACGAATTGTACAAGCCATACACGGGCGCGAAAAATGAACAGTTGATTCTATATGAAAAGTGCTATAATCGTTACGGAGTGTGCTGTTAACAGCGTTTGTTAGATCATGACAGTGGTGGCGGTGAGGTAGAGTCATAGATAACAGAGTCACAGTAAGTAATCTACATTTCTCTACTACAATTCTAGTGTGATTATTCATTCACTGCCAGATTCATCTTGAATTTTCAAGGTGAATGTTCCGGCGAAGCACTCCGTCCACTATCACCTTGAAGTATTTCATTATGACTATGTGTATGTGACAATGCCCTCACAGTTTAGAATCAGTTTACCAACAGCCAATCATATTGCTTCTTTCTTAAACGAGCTGGCCAAGCTATCAAAATCTTCGAGGCTGAGCTAAGTCACAAAGACGCTTCACGTTGCTATTTAAGACGCGCACCACTTTACCACATGTATTTCACCAATCGAAAAGCCCGTACTGAAAATAGCTAAAATCGGGAAAACAGCACAAACTTAACTTTGAAGTAATCCTAAACAACCAAATTTAAATATGTTGCATATGTAGGGGTAATCTTGTTACACTTTTCAGGGGGGTGTCAACAACCATCTCAAAATAACGTTTTCTGAGTATTTATTGGCCTTTGTTTTCACCATGATGGTTGTCAGGTGGTGAAAATGCCTGACCCGAGAATAAATGTCGCTGCGCACAGTGGAAGCTGTGTGGGTTTGGATGTCAAGGCAATACAGCGACTATGTTCTTACATCAAGCAACTCACTGATATTCATGATGTGTTCGTTTTTAGTCGCACTGGAAATAGTAAATCCTGCGACCATCGA